CCTGACATGATATATACATGCATGGTGTTTAAGCTACTCAGTTTGTGATCCTGTGTGATCATTTTGGCAGCAGAGGAAATCAGTACATCGCAGTGCTGGCAAGGATGTGGGAAACGGGCTTCCCCACCTTCCTCTCCTACAGTGGGCATGGAATGGGAGCAGCCTCCCCGGTGGCTGATTACAGTCATTCATGGCCTTGGTGCCAACAGCCCCTCTAGCAGCTTGTGTGTTAGCCCAGAACTACCTCTAGTAAAGGTGGAGGTTGCAGCCTTGTTTGTAACAGTAAGTGGAAAAGGAGGGACACAGCACTGCTCAAGTGGGGCCTGCCTCCCCCCACCCCAACTGGAAGGAAGAGCAAAGGGAGGAGGTCTGTGATGTTGGATGTTTCTGATGTTAGTGAGAAAAAGTAAGGCATAGAATCATGTTTTGCTTTTTTTTTTTTTTTTAAATGCGTGATAAGTATGTACACAAGCTTTTATATGCAAGGAATATTTTTGGAAAAGATACAGGGAAACCCTTGCAGTGGCTGGGTGGGAGATGTACCTTCCCTTGTGCCCTTTCGCGTGCCTGCAGAACTCAGTTCTAGTGTGTGTGGGCGTGTGATGTGCTCACTGTGTGATCTTGGGGGGTGAGGGGGCCTTCCTCAGGGCGCGGGCTCCCGTCTCGCCAGCCCACGGAAACCTGCATCTGCTGGGGGTTGTTGAGCCGCAGGAGCTCTTTATCTCTTCTGGAGCTGAGCCCTTCACTGGGCATGCTTTGTCAGCACGTGCTCTGGGCTGAGGTTTGCTTTTTGTAGTAAGCAGAAGTTCTTAATCTTCATGAAACCTTGTTTGTCAGTATTTTTTCTTGGGTGGTTACTGCTTTGGGGGTCCTGAGAAATCTTTGTCTACCCCAAGGTTGCAGAGATATTCTCCTATGTCTTCTAAAAGACTTTGAGTTTTTGCTTTCATATTTAGGTCTGTGATTGATTTTAGGAATGAATATAGATAGATGGATAGATTTTTTTTTAAAGTAAGCTCTACGCCCAGCGTGGGGCTCAAGCTCATGACCCCGAGACTGAGAGTCACATGCTCTACTGAGTGAGCCAGCCAGGGGCCAAGTCTGTGACTGATTTTAAATTAATTTTTGAGTATGCTCTGATGTTTGGTGTAAATGGAATCATGCAGTCTGTGTTTTCTGTGACTCCACTCCCTGTGGTCTGAGCTTCTTCACTTCCCGTGGTCTGAGCTGCTGCTTGTTTGTGCACTGAGGCTACAGTTGGCTCATTTCTGTTACTCTTGAATTTTTCGTTCTGCTCCTTTGACTCTTGGAAGACACTGGTGTCCCTGTAACATTGGACTACATGACCTGCACCTTGTGTGCGTCTCCTTTCTGTAAAATGTGATAATAGCACCTTCCCCATGGAGTCGTCGTGATTGCACAGAGTAGTGCCGCATGGAAACACATGGTATGAGAGCAGGGCCTGGTTCACAGCGAGCAGAGGACAAGGGATGGAGTGGCTTGGTCAGCAGGTGTGCACACGTGAGACTGCCAAACAAAGGCCGTTGCTTCCGAGACTTGGCTGGGCCCAGAACTCCCTGGTCGTGTCAGATGCCAGTTCTGCTGGTTGGTGGGCATGTCCGTAGGGTAGCCGCTCCTGGCTTCCGTCTGCATTCCCTGATGCCTGCGAGAGCTGAGCACAGGTGCTGCCGTCTCCTCTTTCACCCGCTGCCTATTCTTGTCTGCTGGCCCAGGGTTTCTGTGTTCCGGACACATACGGATCCTCGGGGCCTTGTGGCATCTGTCTTCTCCCACATTGTCACTTTTTGGTGTCTTGGGATGAACTCTAAAGGTCTTGTTAATGTAGCCAAATTGATTGGATTACGGTGTGCAAGCATCCCTCGGAGATCCTGCGGGTTGGGTTCCAGACCACCAAGCGACTATCACGATACACCGAGGCAAATGAAGTTTTTGGTTTCCCGGTGCACGTAAGAGTGGTGTTTACACTATACTGTAGTCTGTTAAGTGTACAATAGTATTATATCTAAAAAAAACAATGTATATACCTTAATTAAAAATACTTTATTATTAGGGCACGTGGGTGATGATGTAGTTAACGTCTGACTCTTGATTCCGGCCCAAGTCATGCTCTCAGGATCATGAGCCAGAGCCCGCGTTGGGCTTCACCTGGGCGTGGAGCCTGCTCAAGATCCTCTCTCTCCCTCCCCCTCCCCTGCTCTCTAAAACAAACAAACAACAACAACAACAACAAAAACCCAAAGATTTCGTTACTAAAAAAATGCTAACCATTATCTCCTTTTTCAGCAAATCCTAATCTTTTGCTGATGAACGTCCTGCCTCCCTGGTGCAGGCTGCTGACCGGTCAGGGTGGTGGCCACTGATGGCTGGGGGGGCTGTGGCAGTTTCTTAAGACAACAGTGAAGTTTGCTGTATCGATTGGCTGTTCCTTTCATGAACAGTTTCTCTGTATGTAGCACACGATGCTGTTTGATAGCATTTGACACACAGTAGGACTTCTTTCAAAAAGAATTGGAATCAGTCCTCTCAAATGCTGCCACTCCTTTGTCAGATCATCTTCTGTAATATTCTAAACCTTTGTGGTCATTTCAACAATCTTCAGAGCATCTTCACCAGGAGTAGATTCTAGCTCAAGAAACCACGCTCTTTCCTCATCCATTAGAAGCAGCTCCTCATCCGTTCAAGTTTTAGCATGAGATTGGAGCAAGTCAGTCCCATCCTCAGGCTCCACTTCTGATTCCAGCTCTCTTGCTATTTCCGTCACACCTCTGGTTACTTCCTCCACAGAAGTCTTGAAATCTCAAAGTCATCCATGAGGGTTGGACTCCACTTCTTCCAAAATCCTGTTCATGTTGATATTTTGATCTCTTCCCATGAGTCACAGATGTTCTTAATGACGTCTAGAATGGTAAACCCTTTCCAGAAGGTTTTCAATTTACTTTGCCCAGATGCATCAGAGGAATCACTGGCTATGGCAACCGTAGCCTTACAAAATGTACTTCTGAAAGAATAGGACTTGAAAGTTGGTCCATGGGGGGGGCGCCTGGGTGGCTCAGATGGTTAAGCGTCTGCCTTCGGCTCAGGTCATGATCCCAGGGTCCTGGGATCGAGTCCCGCATCGGGCTTCCTGCTAGGCAGGGAGCCTGCTTCTCCCTCTGCCTCTGCCTCTCTCTCTCTGACTCTCATGAATAAATAAATATTAAAAAAAAAGAAAGAAAGAAAGAAAGTTGGTCCATGGGCTGCAGAATGGATGTGGTGTCAGCAGGCATGCAAACAACATTCATCTCACTGCACGTCACCATCAGAGCTCTTGGGTGACCGTGTGCATTGTCAACGAGCAGTAAGACTTTGAAAGGAATCTTTTTTCCTGAGCAGTAAGTCTCAACAGTAGGCTTAAAATAGTCTGTAAACCATGTTGCAAACTGATGTGCTGTCATCAGGCTTTGTTGTTCCATTTCTAGAGCACAGGCAGAGTCGATTTAGCATAATTCTTAAGGGCCCTAGGATTTTCCAAATGGTAAATGAGCATCGGCTTCAACTTAGTCACCAGCTGCATTTAGCCCGCAACAGGAGTCAGCCAGTCCTTTGAAGCTTTGAAGCCAGGCATTGACTTCTCTCTATGAAAGTCCTGGATGGCATCTTCTTGCAATAGAAGGCTGTTTAGTCTACACTGAAAACCTGTTGTGTAGCCATCTTCATGAATTATCTCAGCTACATCTTCTGGATCCCTTGTTGTGGCTTCTACATCAGCACCTGCTGCTTCACCTTGCACTTTCAGGTTATGAAGTTGGCTTCTTTCCTTAAACCTCATGAGCCAACCTCTGCCGGCTTCAGACTTGCCTTCTGCAGCTTCCCCACTTCTCTAAGCCTTCACAGAATTGAAGAGAGTTAGGGCCTTGCTCTGGACTAGGCTTTGGCTTAAAGGAGTATGGTGGTTTGATCTAGCAAGACCACTCAGACTTAGTCCACATCAGCAATAAGGCGGGTTCGCTTTCTTATCACCCGTGTTTGTTCACTGGACTAGCACTTTAATTTCCTTCAAGAACTTTCTTTGCCTTCACAGCTTCGCTAAGTGCTTGGCACAAGAGGCGTAGCTTTCAGCCTATCTTGGTTTTGGGCATGCCTTCCTAAATGTAAGTCATTTATAACTTTTGATATAAAGTGAGAGGTGTGTGACTTCCTTTTACTTGAACACGTAGAGGCCATTGTAGGGTTCTCATTTGGCCTAATTTCAACACTGTTGTGTCTCAGGGAACAGGGAGGCCCAAGGAGAGGGGAGAGGGCAGTGGCTGGGCAGTGGACACACGCAGCACTGATGAAGTTCGCCGGCTTACATGGGCGGTTTGTGGCGCCCCAAAGCGGTCACGTAGTAACGTTAGGAATCGCTAATCACAGATCACCATAACACATAAAATAGTTAAAAAATCTGAAATATTATGAGAATTACCAAATGTGACACAGAGACACAGCACTGCTCAATGCTGTTGGAAAATGGCACCAATAGACTTGCTTATTAGTGCAGGGCTGCCACAGTTCAATTCGTAAAAAACACAGTATCTGTGAAGTGTAGTAAAGCTAAGAACACAAAAGGAGGTATGCCTTTATTTATCTTTTAAGCTCGGTGTGTTTTATTTGATAAATCCTTCAGCACCCCGCCCCCCATGAGATGGTAGAGTAGAATACCTCTCCCGGATCAGGAGCAGAGCTTATTTCATGAACGTCATGGGTTTCAGCCATGTGACAGCCACTTGGGCAGGTGGGCATGGCCATGGACGGGCTCGTGGTCAACTGCACCCCATGCACTAGAGGAGGCGGACGGGAGGGTGAGCACTGGGTACCTTGCTGGCCTCAGGAGCAGGTAGGAGATGGCATGGGGTGAGAACTTTGATGTTGCCGACTCCACTGGCTCTTGGGAGGGAGAGGCCCAGAGTGGGCTGGAACAGGGAGAAGGGCAGAGGTCTGACAGGTGGCTCGTTTTGCAGATCCGGAACATGGTGGCGGTGCTGGAAGTCATCTCCAGCCTGGAGAAATACCCCATTACCAAAGAGGCACTGGAGGTGAGTGTCCCCAAGACCCAACTTTGGGAAGAGAAGGGTGGGCAGGGCCTGGGCTTCCCCAACCCGAGTCCTTCCTGGCTTCTTGGAGCCTTTGCTCTCACTGGCCACGTAAGGACTTAGTAGTGCTGAGCGAGCGGTGTACATACCCTCCCGGCCTAGGCTGTGCCGAAAGCAACATCTTCCTATGGTCACTGCAGGAATTGGGTAGCTCTAGTCCCAGGGCTGGGAGGCCTGCCTGGGGGGAGGGGGGAGAGGCTCCAGTGAGGGATGCGGGCTCAGGCCTTCCGTTTGCTGTTGCCTTTGCCGTAGTGTGCTTTCACCCAAAGAGCTTCCCTGGCACAGTGTCTCTGCACTGGCCTGACGGTCCACAGCCTCTAGGTGCCAGGAGCCTGCGGGACGGTGCTTCTGAAGATGCCACCCGTGGCCCTGGGACCCTGAAGTTCGAGGACTAGATTTGAGAAGTTAGATGTCACAAAGGACCCCAAATCCTCATGGGTTTTGTTACCCAGGAACTCCGTGGTTTAGAGGGGCAGTGGGATTAATCCAAAGACCAGGGGTTCTCAGCTCCCTTTTCATGGGGGACTTGCTGTCCCCAAAGCACGTCATCATCTCTCTCTGGTTGTAGGAAACTCGACTTGGGAAGCTCATCAACGACGTCCGCAAGAAAACGAAGAACGAGGAGCTCGCCAAGCGGGCCAAGAAGCTGCTGCGGAGCTGGCAGAAGCTCATCGAGCCCGTGCACCAGAATGAGGCGGCGCTGCGAGGGCTGGCGGGCAGCACCGGCTCTGCCAACGGGGGCGCTCACAACTGCCGGCCGGAGGGGGGAGCGGCCGGCGCGCCCAAGAGCATCCATGAGCTGAAGAACCGCAATGACATCCAGAGGCTGCCTGGACAGCGGCTGGACAGGCTGGGTAGCCGCAAGCGCCGGGGAGATCAGCGTGACCTCGGCCACCCTGGGCCACCTCCCAAGGTCTCCAAAGCCAGCCATGACTCCCTGGTACCCAACTCATCCCCCCTCCCCACCAACGGGATCGGCGGGAGCCCCGAGAGCTTCCCTGGCGCCCTGGACGGCAGCGGGCACGCGGGCCCCGAGGGCAGCCGCCTGGAGCACGGCGACAGCGACAAGCACAGCGGCAAGATTCCCGTGAATGCTGTGCGGCCGCACACCAGCTCCCCGGGCCTGGGCAAGCCCCCGGGCCCCTGCTTGCAGACAAAGGCTGCGGTGCTACAGCAGCTGGACCGGGTGGACGAGACTCCGGGGCCCCCCCACCCCAAGGGGCCGCCTCGCTGCTCTCTCAGTCCCCGGAACTCACGGCACGAGGGCTCCTTTGCCCGGCAGCGGAGCCCGTACACCCCCAAGGGCTCCCTGGCCAGCCCCTCTCCACGGCCCCAGGCGCTTGAGGCCACGCAGGTGCCATCGCCGCTTCCCCCGGCTCGGCCGTCCACACCACCCGTCAGGCGGCTCGAGCTGCTGCCCAGTGCCGAGAGCCCGGTGCGCTGGCTGGAGCAGCCGGAGGGCCACCAGCGGCTGGCAGGGCAGGGCTGCAAGGGGGGGCTGCCCCCGGCCGAGCCCCTCCTTCCCCGGGCGGGCTTTTCCCCGGACTCCTCCAAGGCGGACAGCGACGCCGCCTCGTCTGGTGGCTCGGACAGCAAAAAGAAGAAGAGGTACCGGCCTCGTGACTACACGGTGAACTTGGATGGGCAGGTGGCGGAGGCGGGTGTCAAGCCCGTCCGGTTAAAAGAGCGGAAGCTCACCTTTGACCCCATGACCAGACAGATCAAACCTCTGACCCAGAAAGAGCCAGTGCGGGCTGACAGCCCCGTGCACACAGAGCAGCCCAGGACAGAGCTGGACAAGCCCGAGGCCAAGGCCAGCGTGCAGAGCCCTTTTGAACAGACGAACTGGAAGGAGCTGTCGCGCAACGAGATCATCCAGTCCTACCTGAGCCGGCAGAGCAGCCTGCTCTCGTCATCAGGCGCCCAGACCCCAGGGGCTCACCACTTCATGTCTGAGTACCTGAAGCAGGAGGAGAGCACCCGGCGCGGGGCCCGGAAGCCGCACGTGCTGGTGCCTCACAGCGCGCCCTCGGACCTCCCGGGGCTGAACCGCGAGGTCACGCAGGACGACCTGGACAGAATCCAGGCCCACCAGTGGCCAGGGGTGAACGGGTGTCAGGACACACAGGGTAACTGGTATGACTGGACGCAGTGCATATCGCTCGACCCGCATGGGGACGACGGGCGGTTGAACATTCTGCCTTATGTCTGCTTGGACTGAGCAGCCTGTCGGCCTCTAAGTGCATTCCCACCTTGCAGTTGGCGTGGCAGCCGGGCAGCCTCCGGCGGTTGGGAATCCGGGGAGCCCGGGCCGGGCCGGGAGGGAGGGGGCGGGAGTCTCGAGGCCTCTCCGTGCTCTTCCCTCAAAATTCTCCTTCTTTTGTGAAATGCTGCTACCAGTTTACTAACAAAATTGCAAAGGAAGGACCGTGTGGAAGGAAGGCCGGCACAGTGAGTTCAGAACTCTATAGCAAACCAGCTATAAAAAGCGTTAGTTCCCCACCCCGGAAGAGGTGCGGACACTTCCCAGCACCCGTGAGCTGGGACCTCAGTGGCAGGCAGGCACAGACAACCTGGGGGAGAGGTTACCTTTAAACAGCAACAGAAGCACGCAGCTCATCTCTCTGCATTTTCCTTGTTTAAATTTGGCCCTGAGTGTCTGAGGCAGGGGCTGTGCCCACACCTCGGCCTCTGCGCGCACCCCGGCTGGCCAGCCAGTACGCCCTGCGCTCCGTGGGCATCCACACGTTCTCATCTGGTTTCGGTTAAAACCCAGTTTTGAAAAAAATGCTGCAAAAATCTAAGTTTTCTAGTTTATTTTATCCCCCTCTTCCATTGACCACCAGCCAAGTAATTTTCCTTTCTACCTTTTCAAAGTTTCCCCCTCCCCTTCCTGCACATATCTTGAAAATCTCACCTTTCTAGAGTCCCCTCCCAAAAAACACAAAAGTAACCGCGGGTGCTACTGGTGTGTAAGCTGTATTGTTGGGCAAGAGGAGACCTGTCTGTACGCTGGAAACACTCATAACCATTCCTTTAGATTCGTTTGCCTTATGGTTATTTGTCATAAACGCGATCTGCAAAAACAAGGAGCCTTAGTGAATGTACAGTACCTAGACTTCTGTGTTCTCAAGACGCAGAAGGGAGCAACTTTGCTATTTGGTCCAGTAAGTGGACACCTTGTGATATAAATGTGGAAATAAAAAAAAAAAAAACCATTTGCACAAACCAGTCTCAGAATCGTTACTAATTTGGTCCCTTACAGTCATAATCAGCCTTTCGTGTCTGAGGTTTGGGCTCCATTGCTGGACTGCAGGGAGGTGGGCAGGGCAAAGTGGCCAAGCCAGCCTATTAGTGTTCTGCATGAAAACTGACCTCCACCTGCCTTTCACTCATTCAGGGCCATGTTGCCTCTTCCGCCGCCGGGGTCACCTACTAGCTTTGGGTGACAGAGACTGAAGGTCCACATGAAGGAACGTTACCCCATCTGCCCCAGAGAAAGAAGCCCTCCAAAGGGGTTCCATGTCCCAAGTCTTGGTAACCTGGTTTTACCCCACAAAGTATCTAGCTTCTACAGGGCATGGCCCAGAGCCACGCCTGGCACTGCATCCCTTGGCTCTGGCCCCAGGCTGCTAGCTCCCCATGCAGGCCTGGGGCTGTCTCAGTATCTGATAGGTGCTGTTTTTAAAAAATAACTTTCTGCCTTGACTATAAAAGTGATAATACTTCCTTCTCCCTCACCCCTGAAACCGTCAGCTAAGACTATGGTTTTCAAAATTTTTCAGTCCAGAATAGGTCATGTTGGATGTACCTACTTCATTTCACAGATGAGGAAGCAGCTACCCCTTAAGAGGGACAGTCCTAGGATACCTGGGTGGCTCAGTTGGTTAAACGTCCCATAGGGCGAACCAGGGGGTCCAGAACCATTGAGTCAGCCCAGAACCACAATTTCAGAAGCAGCAGGGATTTCTGACATGGTGTTAGTGCAAGACACACCCACCCTAAGATAAGGGCAGTGGATGAAGTGGCTTTGAGGACAGGCTGAGGTTGGACTCTGGACCTGCCATCTATGAGCTGTATGGCTCTAAGATAATCACTTCACTCATACACATGTCTCTATCTGGGAGATGAAAGTGCTTATTCCAGAGCTGTGAGGATAAGTTAAACAGAGTTTAAGCCAAAAAAAAAAGGGGGGGGAGCATGTCAGTAGAACCCTTTGTGCTATGGAATAACTAATTACTTTCCTAAATCCACTGTGCCTGTAATGTGGGCCAGCCCTGCTGCTGTGTGGGTGTCCCCAGGAAGTGACTTACTCTGTGACAAAGGGTCGTAAGCACAGCTGGAATATACTAGGATACAGGTTGGCATCTTATGAGCATCTCCTTTTCTCAGACCCGGACTTTAGGACAGGTCCCTGCTCCCTGCCCCCACCTGAAGGACCACTTCTGCGTCTAAGTATCCAGTAAGCCCCAGCATAAAGATACTGCCTGCTTTTGAGAACACAAACTTAAGATTTCCCTCCCACATTTTTGAAATCAGTGGGTTGCCACTTTCTAATTTGCCAAGTAAAGACATTGTAAAAGGGCATCTTAACCCCCACCCCTTCCCCCCAAAAGTTGTCCGTACATGATTTTTGGAACAAATCAAAGTCCTTTAGTATAAAACCATCTCGCTGAAAACACCATCTTGTCTTCCTCCGCTGGGGTCTGGGGCTGCTCTATCCTGGCCTTGGGCATCAGCAGTCAGGGCCCGGCAACCTCTCCCGCCTGCAAGAGCCCTGGAGACAGGTGCGGGAGTAGGCTACCATGGCCACGGCTCCCGAATTGGCCAGGGGACCCGAGCCAAGTCGCCTCCCTTCTCTGGGCTTCGGTCTGTCCGTCTGTGAAATGGAGATGGTCATACACCTACCGCACAGTACACGTCGCAGTGGTTCCCAGAACAAGCCCCCAGAGACCGGGCGCTCCGGGCTAGCCCTTCTGTTGGAGTCCGGCCATGGAAGTCCCTCCCGTGTTTTTGCAGAAAAAACTTAGCCTATGGAAAGCTTTTCACAATTTGGTTTCTTTTCCGAAAAGGTCTGGTCTTTTATCCTTGGTGTCCGCCGTCGCCCGCCCATCGGGAGTATGGTTGGAGGACGCCGATGTAGCGTGGGAATCGAGGTCTGACTCCCGAGCTCGATGGCCCGCTCACAGACGCCGACGAGACAGGGCCTTTGCACTTCTGGCCACTCAGCTCGAGCCGCGGCTCCAGGGTCCTGCAGGCCAACCCTCCGCCGGGGAAACCCCGCTAGGCAAGTCTCCGCTTCTCCACCTTCCGCTTCCGCGATAGGCACCGCCCCGGCCGGAAATCCACCAGAGGGGCGGGGCCTGCGCCCGCTACGTGGTGGCGGGCGCGTCCGCCGGCGCGAGGCGGTGACGCGAGGCAGCAGCGACCAATGGGGAGCGGCGTTGGCCGGCGTGCCCGCCCCTACTCGGCCCCGCCCCCGCCCGGCGTCGGGCCGTCGGACGGGCGGGAAGAGGTGGCCGCTCGGGCAGGATGGCGGCGGCGGCGGCGGTGGGTGCGGGCGCGGGGGGCCCGGGAGCGGCGGGCGGCGGCGGCGGGGCGCGCGAGGGCGCGCGGGTGGCAGCGCTGTGCCTGCTGTGGTACGCGCTGAGCGCGGGTGGTAACGTGGTCAACAAGGTGATCCTGAGCGCCTTCCCGTTCCCCGTGACCGTGTCTCTGTGCCACATCCTGGCGCTGTGCGCGGGGCTCCCGCCGCTGCTGCGCGCCTGGCGCGTGCCCCCCGCGCCCCCAGTCTCGGGCCCTGGGCTCGGGCCGCATCCGTCTCCCGGCCCGCTGCTGCCGCCGCGCTTCTACCCGCGCTACGTGCTGCCACTCGCGTTCGGCAAGTACTTCGCGTCCGTGTCAGCGCACGTCAGCATCTGGAAGGTGCCAGTGTCCTACGCGCACACCGGTGGGTGTCGCGGCCGGCCTGGGGGGCGGCGGCCCGGACGCGCCACCCGGGGTTTCGGCGCTTGGATAGGAGTACGCTGGCCGGGTTGCGGCCCGACGGCCTGAGAAGTCAACTTCTGTCAGGAAGGCGCTGGGGGCCAACAAGGCTTTTAGCGGGCGGGGGGGGGGGGGCGGGGACTCGCACAAGGGTTTTGGGGAGGGAAGTGGCTGAAAAAGAGGGCTGGGAGCTGAGCAGGGCGAATCACAACTGTTGGGTTGGGGGGAAGCCCCGCAGAAGGGCTGAGGAGGATGGAAGGGCTGCCAAGCCCTCCCATCGCACTAGTGGAGTTGGGACAGGGTCCCAGGGTGGGTTCGGGGACTGGGGCGGCTCCCTGAGAGCCCCTTGCCTCTCTTTACAGTCAAGGCCACCATGCCCATCTGGGTGGTTCTCCTGTCCCGGATCATCATGAAGGAGAAGCAGAGCACCAAGGTAACCCAGGAGGGTTCTGGGCAGGTGGGGGCCCCAAGGGCTTCCTGGCTGGTGCCCAGCTGGTGACGTGGTCCAGGCTCCTGGCTTCCTCTCAAATCAGGAAGTCAGCTTAGAGGCTTCTGGTGGCCTTTTATTGCTAATGTTCTGTAATCGCTTTGGAGGCACTGGTGTGTGTCCCTGAGTTGCTTCTGGTCTGTGGTCTCAGGTACGCTCCTGTCCCTCTCAGGTCCAACTTGCCTTCATGTTTTGATTCCCTGAGTGTGGTTGCTGATAGGCAATGACTTGGTCCCATCATGACCAGGCACCACGTGCCCCTCCAGGGGGACTAGGGATAGAACATCTGACGCCTTGCTGGAACTCTGACAAAGTTTCACTTCTTTGCAAGTGACAGCGGTCAGGTTGGGGACTTTTGGGGTCAGAAGTGAGATTGCCAGTCAAAACAGTCTGATTTTGGCAAAATCCAGCAAAGTCTTCGAAATAAAAACCACCAGGAATTGTGTCTGGGAATGGAAGTAAAAGCAACGCTCAGAGCCTAGGACTGCATAAGGAAGATGCTTTGGGCACAATCCAGAGTCTGTTCAAGATGCCAAGCCAGGGTATTTCCTGGCTTGGGGCGAGAGAAGCTGTGGCTTCAGCCAGAGACAGCCTTGCTCCGTGTCCTTAAGTGGAAGTGGGACTGCTGTTGTCCCAGCTGGAATCCATTTCATGCTGGACAGAGCACTTCTTTTTTACGTGCTTAGTTTCTGGCATCCTGTATTTTATGTAACCCAGAGTGGCGTTGCCCTGGATCGGCTTATGGAAATTGGGCCACCTCTGGCTGATTTTTTGTTTCAGTCTGTCTTTTTCTCTGCAAGACCTGGGTGTGCTCTGTAGCCCACCCTCAGGGCGATGTCAGGTGCGACTTGTCTCCCTGGGTCGGAGTTGCCCCGGAGGTGTGCAGCTTCATCACTCGATATCACATCATGTTTATCAGGTTTCCCCGTTGTATAGGACATTGTACCCCGCTTGGGCAAGGAGCTGGCACCTTAGTGAGGAGGGACTGAGGAATGGCCTAGGCAAAGACTAATGATAAAGGCAGAATATGTATGGACCCACCCTATGAGACAGATAAGGCAGGTAGGTAATTGTCATTCTTGATCTCAGCCGAAGAAATGGGACATAAGGGGTAAGTCAAGTGCCTGAGGCCCACAGCCAGTGGTGGGGGAGCTAGAATTGAGCCCCCCCTCTCCAGTCCAGAGCCCTTGCTTTTTCCTCCAGGGTTGGATGAGAAGCCTCGCCAACCCCTCCTAAAATTTCTGCAGTGCTTTCAAGTGTCCTTTGTAGGAGGAGGGTGAGCTGGGAGTCAGAAAAGCTAGATGTCAAAAATGGATCCTATTTCTCTGGAAGTTTGGAGCCATTTAGCCGCCCGAGCTCAGGAACCATTGCATACGCTAGGCCCTGGAACGCTTGGACCTTCTAGAAAGCCTCTTGTCACGGCACTACTCTTCCTTCAGCCAGTGCACCGCCACAGGACAGAGCAGTGAACAAGGACCTGCGCTAAAAGAGCACAGGGACGCAGATGGGCCCTTTTAGTGGGTGGAGAACACCGCCCCAGAACACACAGCACAGGGACCTGATGGGGTCTTGCGGGGAGAGATGAAAGTTCTCCTGGTCTGTGAACTGAGACCTGAGAGGGGAAGGAGGTCTCTAGCCAGAAAAGGCATAGAGGGAGTGTCCCAGCCAAGGGTAACTGCCTGTTGGAAGAGACCGGCCCTGGCCAGCCTCTCGGACGATCGGGGTTTTAGACTTTGGTGTGTTGGTGGCAGCAGCTGGATGGAGCTGTTAGGGCCAGCTCCCGTTTGTGGCCCTGAGAAGTGACTGTGAAGGGAGTGGGGCTGCGCACAGTGACACAGCCCTGCCCCCAGGGACGCTGCCCCGTCTGCCCCACCCCCTGCGCCCCTCCAGCATCGCTGCCACAGCTAACACTGTTGACCAGGGGGTAGGTGGGGTCCCTTTGCTGAGGGAGGGGAGAACAGCCGAGGCTTTCCTCCACGCATCTGTGTCGGGCAGCCTGGCTCAACTCCGGCCCTCAGCCCCTCCTGCCCTCCTCCCGCAGGTGTACCTGTCACTCATCCCCATCATCAGCGGCGTCCTGCTGGCCACCGTCACCGAGCTGTCCTTCGACATGTGGGGGCTCATCAGTGCCCTCGCTGCCACACTGTGCTTCTCGCTTCAGAATATTTTCTCCAAAAAGGTATTTGGGCACCATCTGGGAAATGTCTGATTGGGGGGTGGCACGGATGAGAGAGTGGTCAATAGGGATTTCTGTGGTGTTGGAACGAGAAAAAAATCATGGTGCCCTTCTACTGGTTTTGTATTTGTTGTTTCATTTTTTTCAAGAGTTTGTTTCCTATTATAAAATTAGCATATGCTCAGTGTGAAAAAATAGAGAAAGGCCCCCCTCCCCCCAAAATCAGAAAACTTCCTGAGCATCTACTATGTTTTCAGGCACCAGGGTGGGTGCAGGAGATGAGTAATAGTAGAGACCGGCCCCCTGCCCAGGTGGTCCCGTGCTGAGTAAAGTCACAGTAGTGTCCCTTAAAGAGAACTGCTATTAATGTTAGGGGTCTTTTTCGCAGAGTTTCTAGAGTTGTAATATTATACATTTCAAAATTTTGCTTTGTTCATTTACTATTTATAACATTCTCCCATATCTTTAAAAAATACTCCTCTAAATCCTGTAACACACACTCTTTCTGACACCACAGTCAATGCAGTCAGTTTCCCTACTGCAGTGCAGACTGTTTCCAACTCTTCCTCATACGTAATGCAGTAACGGGGCGTAGGGGGGCGGGCACCTGGGTGGCTCAGTCGGTGAAGCGTCTGCCTTCGGCTCGGGTCATGATCCCCGAGTCCTGGGATCGAGCCCCGCATCTGGGCTCCCTGCTCCGCGGGAAGTCTGCTTCTCCCTCTCTCTCTGCCCCTCCCACTCCTCCTTTTCTCTCTCTCACCCTGTCTCTCAGATAAATAAAATCTTTCAAAAAAAAAAATAAGTAATGCAGTAATGAACATCTCTGTGCATAATGTTTTCCTGTCTGTCAAGTTATTTCCCTACATAGGCTTACCGTTCTTGGGTCGGAGTGTATGAGATACTTACGGCTCCTGATACACTTGGCCTGGTTGTATTCTCGAACAGCTGTATGCCAATGTAGACGTAAACCAGCGGGATTTCAGAGTGCCTGTTTCACTGCAGCTTCACCAGGACTGAGTGTTGCTGGGTTTTTTCATTTCTCAGTCCTTCATTATTTGTCTGGGGCATTTTTGTCTCATTGCAGGTGCACTTGTAGGTTTGGTGGTCAAGATCGGATGTCAGGGCTCATGTACAGTCACTGTGTTTGGGACCTGGATAACTGGAGCCCTTCTTGCCACTTAAGAGTTTCAACTGGCCGTTAAGAAGGTTTTTCTTTCTTTAGGTATTGAGAGATTCACGGATCCACCATCTCCGGCTCCTGAACATCTTGGGCTGCCACGCTGTCTTTTTTATGATCCCCACGTGGGTCCTGGTGGACCTTTCAGCTTTCCTAGTCAGCAGCGACCTGGTGAGTTGGCCAGCGCGGTGAACACACCCTTGTCTTGATTAGTTCCAGATTGGTTGCTTTGTCGGGGAGTTACACCTGTGTTGACTTTGGGACATCTGGGGCCCCTCGCAGCCAGCCCTTTAACACTCAGCTTTGTCATGACTCATTTCTCATGCAGTCAAGGAAGTCGGCTTCCTTTGCATTTCCTCCTCCAGCAGGCTAGGTCTCAGGTGTCGACAGCTGCTGAGAAATGCCAGCGTGGGCGACTCCTGTCCTGATAGTCTGGTTCAGGTCTCACTTCGACTTGTCCACACTGCGCTTGCGTTGCTGGATCCCTTTCTCGGTGTCCTCTCCGCCCATACTCCCGTTACTGTGGAGGGATCCTTGGCTCTCCGAGCACAGGAAAGAGAATCTTCCCACCACCTGCAGGGCCAGCCTCCAGACAACGCACTAGAAACTCACACGCAGTGTGACAGTGATAAGGAGAAGGTGCGTGTGGTTTTTCCAAGCCTGAGTTACAGAGAGGGGAGTAAATGTATATCAGGGCTCAGTGAGGCCTGATGGAGTTCTTGACCTCGGTCTTCGATCCTCAGCACCACCTGTAGGCATAGTGCACATTATCTCCAGGCTCCAGTTGGGGAGACTGGCTCTGTTCTTGCTTCCTTTCTGTATTGATCAACTGTAAGTTTTCTGCAAAGAACTTTCCAGCATCGATCAGGACTCATTTGTTACCTTGAAGTATATGAAAGTTCAGTGCTTCTCTTTTTTTTTCAATTACCAATTTTCAGAGAGAAGTTCTAGCTTACTGCAAATGTTAACTAGTGAGTTGTCGGGGGGGGGGGTTTGGTTTGTGGAGGGGGAAGGGTGAAGGAGGGTCCTTCTATTTTTTTTTTTTCCAATATCATTGTGGACTCCTGTGTCAGTTGCATATCTTACTCTTTTCATATTCAAATTATCCTGTCCAGGTCAATGGCGTCCTTCCCATTGGCTCCCTGTCTTTTCGACAGCACAGGTCAGCCTTCGGTAGCTTTTGGTCCAGCAGGATGTTCTTTCTTATCTTGCGCCTCTCCTGTTCCAGACCTGTAGTCATCCACTCTTTCAGAAACTCGGGTTGCTTGTAATAGAGAGTGCTGTCCGGAGACACAGCCTGAGCGCCGTGTGTGCTCACTGCTGTGGGGTCGGCCTTGCTTCTGAGTCTTTGCGGTGACAAGCTAGGAAAGTCCTATTGGGGCAGAGGGGAGAGTTCACACCAATTCATTCCAATGCCAGTTTAACATTACAGGACTTAGACAACTGCTGTGATTTTTAAATTTATATCTTCTCTAGTACACTTGGTTCCTTGCCACATTCGTTCTTTGTTTATCCCACCCCAACTATTCATGTACGGGATTCTACTGAACACACGCATAATCACTGCAGAGTGAGAATCCCCATGGGACAAGTGCGGGTAGGATACTGAGAGAAGTTTAAGGTTTCTTTGCTGCTCTATTTGTCCTTAGGACATGTTCCGCTAAAGATGTACAGTTGGAATACTGTGTTCTCTCTTTTTTTTTTAAATTTTGGAGGAAGGTAGAGAGCACGAGCAGGGGGAGGGGCAGAGGGAGACGGAGAATCCCAGGCCGACTCCACGCTGAGCCCGGCGGAGCCTGACTCGGGGCTCGGTCCCAGGACCCTGAGATCATGACCCGAGTTGAAATCCAGAGTTGGATGCTTCAATGACTGTGCCACCCAGGCGCCCCTGGAATGCTCTGTTCTAAGGGCAACGGAAATAATTGTTTTCACAGTGTGCCTGTATCACCAACTTGCCCAGTTGGGTTCTTTTCATTCCATTTATTTTCCATTTTTAGGCATTGCTTTTCTTTTCCACACCGAATTTATCAGACCTTTATATTTCAAAGCCAGATGATATGAGAAAGTTTGTCAAAGTCTGGCTTCAGTCCCTGTCACCTCCCCCCTTTCTTGTCCCTCCCCGATAGGTAGTCATTTTTATGCTCTTGGTTTCAGTGTTTTTTTTGGCAAGTGTAAGCAAATCTGTATATATTCCTACCTTTCTGCTCCTTACACAAAAAGTAACTTTTTAGATAGAAAAGAGCACCTTGCTGTTTTCCCTCAGACATTCTCTGGGGATCACTCCCTATTAACATATTTATATTTAGGTCTTTCCCATTCTTTTTACTGACTGCAGAATATTGCTGATAGTTTTGGTGTCAATTCTCTTATTCCATCCTATGTTACAGCTCCTTGGTGTCTATATGAATACATGCACACAAATACGTACCTACGGGGTGTGCTCTGGGCACTTTGTTTTTATTTGTATTTAGGACATTTTTTAGTTTTGTTCTAGTGATTACCTTCTTTGGAATCCCTTTAGTAACCTGTTCCCTTTCTTGAGGCCATAGATACTTTTTACCTTCATGGGGCCCTTCTGCGCTCTGATAGCAGCCGTAGGAGCACGCACTGTTTGATGGTGCTGCAGTCTGAAGGCAGGGTGCCCATCTCTGGGCTCCTCCTCTCTGCCCCGTGTCTCCCACACAGATGCCAGGTCATTTGGCTAAACTCTCCCGGTCCTGTGCTTTGTAGTGGTAGGGGGAAGGGTCAGATAGGAGAGCATCTCCTAGAGGATGATGCGCCGCATTACCAAGAATCAGAGGCTCCAGTGGGTAGTTCCTCCACACACGCAGCCCCTCTGCTGACGGCCTGGCTGAAGCTGGGCGGGGATCGCTAGACTCTGAGCAGGTGGCCTGGTTTTAAAGCTTGGACAGGATGAGTAAAGCAGCTATTTGAGAACCTGAAAGTAAAGGGCAGCGGACAGGCTGGGGTTGAAGACAAGATTTCGGAGTGGTGCTGAGTCAGCAGTCAGTTTGCCTCTCTTTTGCCTCCTGTGTGTTCCCCCTGGACTGGACGCAGCCCGAAATGCAGAAGTGGGCACTGGGTGAGACAGAGCCAGAAGCCCTCTCCTTCTGGATCAGGGAATGGGAAAGGGGATTCCTGACACTCAGAGTAGGGGAAATGCCCTGTTGGGGATTTCTGTAATTTTTGTTTCTTGGTTCTCTTGTGTCCCAGGCCCCTGGCAATGCTGTGGTGGTGGTGGCAGCAGGGTCCCACAGCACCTGAGATGCTGAGTGAGGGCCACCTCCCTCTGCGGTCAGAGAGTGGGATTAGTCCCCACTGAGTATTTTTCTCTTTTTATCCGCCCACTGCTTGGTCCCAAGTGGAGGTGCAGTTGTAGGAAGGACACAGCAGAGTGGGGTAATTAAGCCCCAGCTCTCTGATTAGAGGACTGAAAGGGAGAACTCTAAGAAATGGCAGGTACCGAGGTACTCATGGAGAGGGAGGAACTTGGGAAAGTGACCTCAGAAAACATCCTAAAGTCCTAGGCTCACCCGTGGGCTGCACATATGAGGATCTCATCCTAATAGCATACCAAGCCTTTGAAACTGAACTATGGGGTAGACTACTGCCACGAACCTAGACTGACCACTGGGTAGTGCACACTCAGGATGGAGCCACATACCACCAGAAAGTCTTTGAAAACAGAACTCACAGTGGAACCCCAACCCACAGAAGGCTGGTCAAGCTTGTAGTCTAAACCCAACTGAGTCTACTACAACAAAATATCAACATTCCATAAAGGATTTAAATTAAGAGCTACAGTCTTACAACATAATATTCTAAATGTCCAGGGTATAATCCAAAATTACTTGGCATATGAAGAACTGTGAATATTTCAAGTCTTGTAGGAGAAGATAGCAGATGCCAACACTTAAATGACACAGATTTTGGAATTATTGAACAAAGACTTGAAAGCAACGATTATAATATTGTCCCAAGAGGTAAGGGTGAGGGCGCATGGGTGGCTCAGTTGGTTAAGCGTCTGCCTTCGGCTCATGTCATGATCCCAGGGTCCTGGGATTGAGTCTGCTTCTCTCTCTACCCTTACCCCTACTTGTGATTGCTCTCACTCTCTCTCAAATAAATAAAAATCTTTAAAAAACTTTTTTTAAAAAAGAGGTAAGGGTGAATACTCTTGAAACAAATGGGAAGAATGAAAAATAGAAACAAATGGAAATTTTGTAAATTTAGAAACAGTAACAAAAAGTCACTGGATGGACTCAATAGGAGAATGGAGATGACAGAGGGAAGTCAATAACTTGAAGATAGATCAAGAGAAATTACCCAGTTTGACCCACAGAGAGAAAAAAGATTAAAACACAAACGAGCAAAAAATCTGGAAGCAGTCAGAGAAAAATGATGCATTAGTTATAGGAGAAGAGCAGTTTGAATGACTGTGGATTTCTCATTAGAAACCATGAACACCAGGGGCACCTGGATGGCACAATAGGCTGGGCAGCCTATGCTTGGTTTCGGCTCAGGTCGTGATCTCAGGGTCCTAGGACTGAGTCCTGTGTTGGGCTCTGCACTCAGTGAGGAGTCTGCTTCAGGATTCTCTCTCTCTGCCCCTCCCCCTGCTTGCTTGCTCTCTCTCTGAAATAAATAAATCTTTAATTAAAAAAAAAGAGAGGCGCCTCGGTGGCTCAGTCATTAAGCGTCTGCCTTCGGCTCAGGTCATGATCCCGGGGTCCTGGGATCGAGCCCCGTGTCAGGCTCCCTGCTCCGCGGGAGGCCTGCTTCTCCCTTTCCCACTCCCCCTGCTTGTGTTCCCTCTCTCACTGCGTCTCTGTCAAATAAATAAATAAAATCTTTAAAAAAAAAGAAAGAAAGAAACCATGAACACCAGAAAGAGGTGAAATAACATTTTTAGAGTACTGAAACTATTAACACATAATTTTATATCCAGCAATATAGAATCTCCAGAACCAACAGAATTATAAAACATCAGCAAGAATAAAGAACGGAATATCATCAACCAACTGGATATCTATTTCACTGACATTTATAGAACATCCTACCAACAATAGCATAATAGTCATTTTTTTCAGTATTCATGGAACATTCACCAAGATAGACCATGTTCTGTGTCATAAAACGAACTTTAACAAAAGATCGGAAAACATACTAAGTATATACTCAGACCACAATAACAGAAAGGTAACAGGAAAATCTCCAAACATTTGGAAATGAAGCAACATATTTCTAAATAATCCACGGGCCAAAGAGGAAGCTTCAAGAGAAACAAAATATTTTCAACTGAGGCAAAACTGACCCCCCACCCCCCAAAAAAAGGAGGAGAAGGAGAAGAAGACGTTACAAATATCAGGAGTGAGAGAGGGAATATCACTATAGACTTCACAGACATTAAAATGATGAGAACACTACTGACCACTCTATATACATAAATTCAACAACATAGATGAAATAGACCAATTCTTCATAAACCACAGACTACCAAAACTCACCCACCCAAGATGAAATAGATAAACCTAAGTAGTCCCATAGCTATTAAGGAAATGGAATTCATAGTTCAAAACCTTCTAAAAAGAAATCATCAGGCCTGGGCGCCTGGGTGGCTCAGTTGGTTAAGCGACTGCCTTCGGCTCAGGTCATGATCCTGGAGTCCCGGGATCGAGTCCCGCATCGGGCTACCTGCTCAGCAGGGAGTCTGCTTCTCCCTCTCCCGCTCCCCCCTCTTGTGCTCTTTCTCTCTCTCTCTCTCTCTCAAATAAATAAATAAAATCTTTAAAAAAAAAAAAAAAAGAAATCATCAGGCCTAGACGGTTTTACTGGCAAATTCTACCAAACACTTAAGGAAAAATAAATACCAATTCTGTACAGTCTCCTCTAGAAAACAGAAGATGAGGGGCACCTGGGTGGCTTAGTCACCTGCTGGAGTCATGATCCCAGGGTCCTGGGATCAAGCCCACATCAGGCTCCCTGCTCCACGGGAAGCCTGCTTCTCCCTCTCCCACTCCCCCTGCTTGTGTTCCCTCTCTCTCTGTCAAAAAAATAAAATCTTAAAAAAAAAAAAAAAAAACCTACTTAAAGAAAAAGAAAAAGAAAACAGAAGACAAGGGAACACTTTGGGCCATACAACAAACCAGTATTCCTCACAGTCAATGAGGCAAAAGTCATTAACAAAATACTAGTGGGGCACCTGGGTGGCTCAGTCATTAAGCGTCTGCCTTTGGCTCAGGTCATGATCCCAGGGTCCTGGGATCAAGCTCTGCGTTGGGCTCCCTGCTCGGCGGGAAGCCTGCTTCTCCCTCTCCCACTCCCCCTGCTTGTGTTCCAGCTCTCACTGTGTCTCTCTCTGTCAAATAACTA